TATTTTTCCGTTTGCTTTAGAAATAGCTTCTACCTATGCCAAGGCTCTTGCTCTTTGTAATTATAGAGCTGTGTTTTGAATTACTGCTTACTTCATGTGAATGTTTAATTTTGGAATGAGTTGCCCATGCAGAAATCAAATAAGGTATGTCCACATGTTGGTGATAGATTGAACTATAAATTCTGTTCCAGTCTACTGCTTTTCCAGTCATAACTTACACAGACTCACAAAGTCTGTAAGGGAGAAAGAGTTGTGTCACGTTTGACCAAATCTGGTTTTACACTCATTTCTCAGTGAGACATTAGCCTGTTAATCTGCATCTCGACCTGACCCGTTAATGACCTGTTTGTCAATCCAGTAATGGCACTGCTTTCTCCCCAGATTTTTATAAAGTGAAAGTGTTTGTCGGATAGCTTCTCATGATTGCTATAAAGAGAAAAACAATACAAGAAAAATCAATGACTTAATTAGCATCAGAGGAACAGTTCATTGAAAGCAGCAGACTTCAGGCCAACGTAGGCTTATTGGTATTGTCCTTCCAGTTCGATACATTATATAAGCCAGACTTTTTTTTCAGTAACAGTTTTCATCTGATTTCTGCAGACTTTAACTGCAGTTACATCTGATCTGCTTTGACTTTGTTCTAAACAGCTCATAAAGACTGGAAATAATAAAGCTACCAAGCAGGTGTAGTCACTGCTGAGTAGTTCTCCTCAAGCTCTTGTGATCTTCTGAGGAGCAGCTGTCTACATGTTTTACTCCTCAACTGTCAGAGACCTAAGCCTCCAATTGTGTGTATTTGTTCTCTTTTGACAAGTCTATATTCATGCTCTGACTTTAGCTGCTGTTTCCAGGATGCTCACACCATCCCTGCCTTCTTTCACTGAAAGCAACAAGGTAGTTTTAATATGTTCTGCAGCTTTGGACATCTGCCTCTGATGTGTTATCATATATTAGAACCTTATCTACATAGTTAAAAAGCTCTTGGGGGTGGGAAGTAAGCAGTTGTAACTTTTAGTATCAGTATGGATGCTATTCTACGCTTTAACTGAGGGTGAGAGAGTTTAGGCTGTATGGGGGAGAGATTTTTTTTCCTCTATGCTGAGTGTAGGAAGAAGGATGATTCCAGTTTCTGGCAGCTGAGTGATATTGGCTCCAACTGCTGGCTAGTGGTTGGCATTTCTTACTGTAAAGCTTCCAGCCCAGTTTCAGGACTACTAATCTGCAGTTTGATAGCTTCTTAAGCTAAGAAGGTAGAGAATTTGAAATGTGTACCAGTACATTTGAGACCTGTATTGAGAATGATGCAGTTAATACATCTGATATGGGAATCTTCTGCATAGGATGAGCAGTTTTCGGGACTCCTCTGTGGCTGCGATTTGCCCATCTCCACTCCTTCCATCTTCCCTCCTTCCCCTTTCCAGCGTGGCCTGGTTCATTAGTGCTAGAACAAACCCTTCCTTTTGGCCTCCTGTTTGTCACCTTTGTGTTTTGCTCCTAGCTGCAGGTAACCCCTGTTAGGTGCCTGCTGTTTGTGGCCTCGGACTATTTTCAGCTCTCAGCTTTGCTTGTTGCCACTGATCCGTTGTTAGAACGTGGCTTTCATCTCCCTCAGGGGAGAGCACAGTTATAACTGATAGTTGCTTCTTTGCCTTTTCAAACATCACTCCTTTCCTTGTATCTCTTTTTCCTTCTGGCAAACACTTCCCTCTTTTGGAGCTCAAGCCAGCATAGCTCTGCAAAGCTCTTCTCCGAGCTCCAAACAAGGTAAGCAATGGAGAATAAAATCAGGATTTTAACAGTGTTCCTTTATGCAGCACCCTGTGAATAGAATACTGGTAGGCTTGCTGTCAGGTGACAGACTTTTTGATGTGGAGCAATAACTGTTTTTCTTTAACTGCATTGAAGTTACATTGAATGCATTGTGCCAGAGGGCATTTTATGGTTTCATAGAAACCTGCTAATGGTGCAGATATTAAGATAAATTAACTAAATAAATCAGGCCCCATACACTTTTTTTTTTTATATATATACATAGCAAAAGTAAATACTTCAAGTTCTGTAGAACTTAAATTTCAGTGTTCACTTTGAGTAAAATTTAAGATATACATAATTACTGAATTACTGAGGAAAGTTGTTTGAAGAAAAAGAGCATTTGGGTGCTTTGTGCTAGTGTTTGGGCTGTGTAGTCAATGTGCTCAACTGGTTTCTAGATTTCAGCTTTTATCCAATAGCTCTTTCTGCCTTTGCACTTCCCTCTGTGATTTCCTTAATTTATCCTTATATGAACTCATTGACTGCCAGGAACTGACTTATATTTAAAGATAAATATGTCAGTGAACTTGATAAAAGAAACTCCGCGCCATTTCTAAACTAAACTCTATGCTGTTTGTAAACAGAATTCTACACAGATGACTTGTCTACAAGTTAGACCACTATTGGCAAAGTCCAGATCAAAGATAATACTGACCTTTCAATGGCAAAATGTAAACTATATTGGAGCTATGAGCCTCTGGACTTCAGCAAGCAGCCTCTTCTACAAAATAATTGCATTCCATAGGAGCAAGAGGAGATGATGATTGCGATAGAAATGCTTCAAGAAGCTATGGATGCAGTGAGGCAAAAAGAACTTTTTTTTTTGTTAGATGTCTTGTTATTCAAAATTGTTATTTAAAATGGGCTCTTGTTATTTAAAAAAAGCATTATTTGGGTGTAGCTTGTTCATATTCAGATTATGGTGAGTGGATAAAGGGATGCAACCACAAAGTAGTCCCTAGCACGTAATCTAACTGCTGAATGAAGGGTTTTGATAGACAATTTTGATAGACACAGTGATTAAAAATGTCTTCTGTCAATGGTAAATGGTCTGGTGCTGATTTCCTTAGGCCTCTCCTATGCTCTTGGTATGATCGGCTTCAAAATAGGAAAAAGACATTACATCACAAACTGCACTCCTCCCTTTCCATGCTCAGTAACTTGTCTTTTTGGTAGTGTGCAGCAGCCAGTGGTAACACGGCGTGTCCCTGTGGTAAAACCCTCCTGAGGAAAAGAAAGCCAAATTAATCATGCGTTGCCAGCTAACTTGTGATGCTGCTACCCACAGTCAGTCTGTCTTGTTGAGGGCTTCAATCTCCAAATCTGCATGTCACCTCTTAATAAGTGCCAGAATCTACGGAATTAAAAGAAGTGTTTGGAATGGAACTGATCTGCTGAATCACTGACAAGTCTGCCAAGGGCTCTCTGCTCCAGAAGGCTGGTTTTAGTTTTACGTTCCCCATTTGGGGGGTGCTCTGGGCTACCTCCACACAGGAGCTTAGGCTACAAGAAGGAGTGAGCCTGACTGGCACACATGTAGTAGGGGGGACGTTTGGTTGCTCGTTCTGCTTCAGCTTTCATGTGAAATGACATGGCTTGACTTTACATATTTGGTATTTTATTTGCTAATGCAGCTTAAGCTAGAGGGATTTAATATCCTCAAATAAGCTGGTAGCTGTGACTCTGGCCTTGGAAGCAGGAAACAGAGCTGCAGAGCCCTTCCCAAACAGATTCTGGTTGAAGATTTGGTGTACAACTTTTCCAGTGTAGTAGGGTGGCAGGTGATACTGATCTTAGTCACATATTACTGGGCAATATGTGTGAGGCACTGGTGGTGAGGGCCTGTCAATCGTGTCCCTTGGAGAGCCATGAAAACCCTGGAGCAGTGGCTTTCGGTCTGCGGAGAGCCCCAGACCCTCGTGTGATGGACATAAGTCTATGATAAGTCAATGATAAACTTCTTGTTTACTTTTTTCTTCTTCTGTTAGGAGTTTTCTTTAGGCTGTTAGATCTCAGGCTGGAAACTTTGGATCCAGAAGCTGGGAATCATGATTGGGCTTTAGGGAAAACTGCTCAGTACTAATAAGAATGACATTTCTGGGCCTATGTAAAAACGGATGTTTACGTACTTGGAGAAATTTTACTGATAAATCTGGGGCGTCTGGGAGTTATGTAAGATATTGAGGTCCACTGTCTGTGATTAAAACAACTAAACTTCTTTTGTTTCTTCTGTCAACCTGGGCCTAGGTGACTATATAGACTTGCTTGCTCCATGTTGGCTCTGTCTGGTGGACGTAAGCAACGCTCAGCTTCCTCACTGCCACGTATTTTGCTAACTTACTTTTTCATCGCTTAAGTACTTCAGCCTACACTTAGCCAGGGCCTTTGTGGTGATGTGGGGTGTTTTTCTTGGCTTCAATTGCTAAACTTGCAGTATGAGAGATGATAAAACAAGTTGCTTCCGTATAAGCAATTGGTTTAGTAGCAGTGACTATCATGTGGACAATCTCCCATGCAGTTTTCCTGAATGTCAGGGGCTGCAGGGGTTCCTGCTGTGTAGGACTGTCCCTTACATACATGTCAATGCATGTCTAAAGAAATAAATCTGGCAGAACAGTGTAAGTGTATCGTGTGTGGCTGCCACCAGTTACAGCTTTACAATGTGTGGTTTATGGGAACCCACAGAAACACCTTTTGTAATGTTAAAGCTTCAGTGTCAGAAGATGCTGTCCAGTGAGTCGATGCTCTTAAACTGCTGCGGTTGTAGAATAATGTGAAGAGAGGGGGAACAAGAAAAACAAAAGCTCTTGGGTGACACTGCAGTGTGTCCCAGGCTTACCCTTATGGGTGGTATAGAAATGGAGAGACATCTACATAGGGAACTTACTGACATGCTTAACCTAAGGTCAATATCAAGGACATATAAGGTCCATATCAAGGTCAATATCAATTTTGTTGTGTTTTAAAAATAACACTTACATGCTGATTGTGCATAACATCTATGTGCGAAGGATCACTTGCAAAAACAATTAAATATAAAGAAGTACAACAAACTAAATACAAAAAATAAATTATTTTACTAGAGTTGATAAACTCTAGTCACTTAGTAGTGACTTTGCTTCAAGCTTCAGCAGTCACTTCTGTGATGCAGGCAGTCAGGAGACGTTTTCTCTCTCCTTCCTCCCCAATTCCAGGGTAGCCATGGACAAAAGCGAGTTGGTGCAGAAGGCCAAACTGGCTGAGCAGGCCGAGCGTTACGATGACATGGCTGCTGCCATGAAGGCCGTCACCGAGCAGGGACACGAACTGTCCAACGAAGAAAGGAATCTGCTCTCGGTCGCCTACAAGAACGTCGTCGGCGCCCGTCGCTCCTCGTGGCGTGTGATTTCCAGCATCGAACAGAAAACAGAGAGGAATGAGAAGAAACAGCAGATGGGAAAAGAGTATCGTGAGAAAATTGAGGCTGAATTGCAGGATATCTGCAATGATGTTCTGGTAATAATCCAACAGCAAAAATAACAGTAGTTAGTACCGCAGTATCCTTAAGAGAGGCTTAAGGAATTCTAGCAGTAGACATTGCAGCAGCTTGCAGGGAAATAATTTTGTATAGCCACGTAAGTCCTGTTCGGGCTCCTAATTCACTTAGTTTTTCTTGTGTAATTTACTGGATTCTCACTTGTTACAAAGTTGCTTTTTTTTTTTTTTTTTCTTTTTTTTTTCTTTTTTCCTTCCCCATTTTAAATTGCCATGTGGAAGACCCCTAACTCCTGGCTAGTGATAATCATGAAAAGAAATTCAGAGCATGAGCCTCCTAAAAAGCCTGCCCCTTCCTTAAATCCTCTGGCATCCTGAGGCTTGCTTAGCATGCTTCTGGTATATAAGCCGTATGCTTCTTCCCTCAGATCAGATTCCTCGCTGCTTCCACTTAGAAGAGAGGTATCCTTTTTACTGCTGTTCTATTTGTGAAAGATCTCGTTGAGAAAGAAGAGGTGCTGTTAGGATTCACAGCCTTTGTATTTTCTTCTTCTGAATGTACATGTGCTGACTTTGCTGCTACTCAGAGCTTTTCTTCTGGACCTACAGATAAGATCATTGTGTTCTAGATAATTTCACTGTCCTTCACAGAACTTAAATCTGCGGGAGCAACGAGACTGGTGCTAATTTCATGCCTATGCCTAAGTCTTGGTTAATGGTTTAACAGTTCATATTTGCCATTGTAATCATGGCTGCTACAGACATCTTTCTGACTTAAGATATTTGGTGTTTGCTTTCTCAGGAACTCCTGGATAAATACCTTATTGTCAATGCCACGCAGCCAGAAAGCAAGGTCTTCTATTTGAAAATGAAAGGCGATTACTACAGATACCTTTCAGAGGTGGCATCTGGGGACAATAAGCAAAGTAGGTAGAAATCTCTCAATCTGCTGTGGCCTGAACAAAACAAAGTATAAAAATACTCACTTTTTTCCCTAGTTTGAAGTATGTTTCTTCTTTCACTACTGCTCTGTAGTATTAAAGACATGCACAGTGTCAGTCACTTGTAGAAAACTAGACTCTAGTGAAACTAACACAAGTGGTTGACAGAAGTTGATCAAATCAGGCAAATTCTTCTTGCAGCCTCCAGCCTTGCAACTGTTTTTAGTATGTTTGAAAGTGTAACGTCCTTTTCTTGATGCAAGGAATAGGAGAATGAGTTTTTGTTTGTTTTCCTGGACACATGGGTTGCCTTATTGCTATGTCTCCCTGTTTGCTATTGTCTCCCATTTAGACTATGGTTTTAGCTCACAAGTCTTTGCTGTTTGCAAGCTTTCTGTATTCAAAAGTGGCATCTTGATTTACTAGAGTCTCAAATCATTAATCCTGAACTGTTAAAGCAATGTTGAACTGTGCCTGACTTCCCAGTAAGTGGCTAATGTGGTCTGCAGCTCACTGTTTTAGCTGGCCATTGCTCCAGAGCTTGTTGTCACACCACCCAAAGTCAAAGCTTTGTCCAAATAAAATAATTCTTCCTTAACACTCCATTCATTGGTAGCTTCTAAACTTAAAATCACCGGCAGAAGCTTCTGTGCATATGTAAGTGTATGAATATCTGGTCACAGGAATTGTTTCATAAATAGTGTAGACCGAGTATATAATAGCTTGACCCTTAAAGTATAATGATGAGCTGTGCCTTGATGTGATTGCTTCTTGCAGCAACCGTAGCAAACTCTCAGCAAGCTTACCAGGAGGCTTTTGAAATTAGCAAGAAGGAGATGCAACCAACGCACCCTATTCGACTCGGTTTGGCTCTCAATTTCTCTGTCTTCTATTACGAGATACTAAATTCTCCTGAAAAAGCCTGTAATCTGGCAAAGACGGTAAGAACATTCTTCATTTGCCAGTCTTGTGGAAGCCAGGGAGATAACTACAATATTGTGTATACATACAGCTGTAGATACAATAGTATTTGAGGATGGATGTTCTTTCTTAAACTGAATTCCTTAAAAATGTTGGCATCTTTAGACTGTTGTGGCTTTGTTGATCTCTAGTGGAACATGCCTGATTTTCTGGCAGTGAATAGTAACACAGCAAACTTATAAGATCTACTTAAGATGACATGAATTGAGAGAATGGGAAGCCAAGTGCTTTGTCTTGCATGTTTTTAGGCATTTGATGAGGCGATAGCAGAGCTGGACACGCTGAATGAAGAGTCCTACAAAGACAGTACTCTCATCATGCAGCTGCTTAGGGACAACCTCACTGTAAGTATCAGAGCAAACTGCTGCACTGTGCTGTTAATTCTTGAGGCTACTGGACTCCACTAAGTGGAATTTGACATCTGAAGATTTATGTAGTTCTGCACAATTAAAAATGTCTTATTCTGAGTCACTGACTCTACTGTCTTAACTGCTTCTGTGAATTGCATTTTGTTAAACTTGCTTGTTTAAATTAGAAATTGTTTGTTAACCAGTGCAAACAAGCTCAGCTCTTCAGTAACTCAGAGTGCAGTTTGTGTTTCTCAGCAGCCTTTGAGAAACAGCAACTCTCAACAGCAGCTTGAACTTGCTTTTTACTCATAGTTGTCTACCCATTTTTGTTTTTAAAAAGCCAATGATATCCTTAAAAAGCTGTTTAACACCTTTCCTGTTAATTTAGGTGAGAAATTGGCACAGCTACTGCTAATCATGCTGTCTTTCCTTTCCTGGAAGTTGTAACTGCCTGTGTACTTTCAGCATAAACATGTGTTTCTATTTTCTTACAGCTATGGACGTCGGAAAACCAGGGAGATGAAGGGGACGCCGGGGAGGGGGAGAACTAATGGCTGTCACGCTTCACTATATGTTCAATGTCACCCTGTATCCTACACATATATCCCTTTGTGCGACAAGCAAAAAGAATAGTACATCGACTTTCACAACCTCAGCGTAGCAAAAACTGTCTGTGGGGTAAAAACGGTTGGTTGGTGTTTTGTGTACTTATAATGGAGGTCGGTTATTAGAATGGCATTCTGAACTTTCCTATTATGAACATTTGCAGTTATGATTACCGTGTTTATATTTTTAACTGAACACTGTGATTATGGGTTTTGTGATTGCCATTGACTTTACAAAACTCTTATTGGTAGAGAAGTAGACATCAATTATGTAACTCTGGCAAGCTTAATTTGGCACTAAAACAGTCGAAGTACAATTCTGTTGTAAAGTTGTACAGAAAGTTATAGAGATTCTATTGTGACACTGGGGCATGGAAGGAAAACAATCCAATGTTTGGCATTCCAGTTAGGCACACTGCTATGAATGAGTTTACCAGGCATACTCTGTAGACATTTTTAACCACCTCTGAGACACCGCTTTCAGTCAAAAGCTCACTTTGTCAATCGTATCTTTTGGGGGATTGGGTTTATTTGGGGTAGAAGGGTAATGGGGGGAGTTAGCAGCTTGATTTCCAAACTCTTTATGCTGGCAGATAACTGGGATTTGAGTTTTAAAAATGATTTCATGCTCATACAATGTGCATGACTAAGCCCCTGCCCACAGCAATAAGTTACCTAATTATACCTTAAATGATCTTCAGTAGTAAGACTTCTTGGTTCACTACCATGGACTTTGCAATAGGAGAAGATTCAATTTTTTGAATGGCCTTATTAGTTCGGATGATACCATAAAATGATACGCCACCCTTGCATTACTTTCTTCTTAGATGAATTGAAATCTCCATGGTAATCCCATTTTGAATTTACTCTGAAAACCTCTCAATATTCCACTGAGCCATCTTTAAGATTGCTTTATAGATTTTTTTTCTCCCATTGAAGTGTTTATCCTCAACCCTGTCACCTGTTTAAACTTCATTAAAGCAACTTCAGACTCCCACATAATGCTTCATCTTTTTTCTCATTTCATTTTTGTTTTAATATGGCTGATGTCAGGATGGAGGAGGGGAGACCTGAGTCTGCTAGTGGACAGGTTTCTTCCTCGGATGTTTGAGAGCTGCCAGTGCTGTTGCAGCCTTGGGCTCTTTCTCTCTGCCACTTAGAGACAGTTCCAGAATCCAGCTCAAATATTCCGGATTTCCCATTTATTGTACTGGAATGCAGACCTTATACATTTGCAATGCTTGTAACTTGTAATATTTGAGCTCCAAGTATCCTCACCTGCTTACATTCTCAAACATGTCCCATTAAATACACCTAAGAAGAGTTGTGTGAACAAGGCAGTGAAAAAGATTAGGAATAGTCACCTGTCAGCCTCACGGTATCATCCCTGTACCTTAACATTCCACTTAGGATAGGATCCATCTGTTTGTCTGTCCATCTGTCTGCTGAAGAGAGAATTTCATGCACTGATTTTAAAGACTCCCCTCTACTAGCTGAACAAATTGTGCAGTTAATACTTGGCGCTTGATAAATGCAGTAGTGAATGTGGAACCGAGCCTGTCTGTATATCTGGTAGCTCTTTTCGCTTTGTTTTTACTGACCAGTATTCTGCCTAAAGTTTGCTTCTGTGATGGTTATATTGCCTAGCACACACGTGGTTGTGAGAATAGTATAGCAAAAAGAAATACCTGGTTATTGATGTACTAGATTTGTGTATGTCTTTTAAACAGTTCTAGTTTCACCTTACACAAAATAATCAGGAAAGTGTAAAAGAATTCAAAAGTGAATAAAAAAATTTTATCATTTTTTGTGTCTGCTATCTTTGCCATATTTGTGGCAAAAAAGTGTGGTAGTAGAATCACCCCTTTTATTAAATGCTCAGATCTTGCATTGTTTGAATTGATTCATGGTTTCTAAAGGTACTAATAATTACTCATTCATCTTTCAAAGAATTTCTCACCCACCTTCCTGAATTTGTAGTAGAGAACACTGCTTCTCTCCTTTCCTGTGTTAGGGTCATGCTTATAAATATATTGTTGTTGCGGCAGTTGAAAGAAATACAACTATAAATATCTTCCTTCAAGTTGCTGTGAGCCATTGCCTCTGGGAGCGCACTGCACACGGACAGGGTCTGTTCCAGCACTTGCTGCTCTTGGCTATTGACACATAATGCTTTTTTTCCTCGGGGAAACCTTGGAACGCTGAGCTCTTCAGCCAGGTCTCTACCCTTTGCACACCCAGTTGCACTTGTGGATTTTAACCTGCACACACTGTAGCAAACCCCACTCTTGTCAGCTGCCCTAGAAAGCAGCCTGTGGGTGCAAAGGCACATTTAAATGCAGGTATTTTCCTGGAGAAACAGTGTTAGGAGGTGAAGAGCAGTAGTCAGAGTATTGATTTTGGCCTAAAATTGCCAAGCAGGTTCTCTGAGGCCAAAACACATGTCCTTTTGTTCCGAGTGCCTC